CCTACGTGGAGGGCAGAGAGGCTCTAAGTTTCAATTTGGGTGAGGTGGCCTCTAGGTTTAAATTTTCTAGGGTTAAATTTGGTTTAATCCCATGTGGGTGGCTCTCGGTTTGGCCATTTTCTGGCCACTAGGCTGGTCTGCCGGCCAGCGGAGTTGGTTAGGGAGGTTAGGTGAGCCAGGAGAATATGTCACAACAATTTAATGATTTTAGGCTTTGTTTTGGAAAAAAATATCCAATGCTTAAGCAAATATGGCATTAAATCCCTTGATTTTGGGAACCTTTGGTCCATGACTTAGCTTAGGTGGTTGCATGGGGTTTAGGCTGGTCACAAGATTGTAATATTAATGATAGATGTAGAAAATAGGCTGTGGAGTCATTAATTTGATGACTTTAGGATATTTAGGCCACCTTTAGTGCATGGGTTCAATGTGGGTCCAAGTGATCAAAACTTGGGTTTGTCAATTGCTAGCCATGTCAATTGACCAAATTAATTTATCAACATTGTGTAGATGATTGTTATGAAGATTTTTGGTGAAGAGTTGAAGTGATTTTGAGTTCAATTAGTGGGCAAATTTGAGGAATTTTTGACATTTGGTCAATTTAGGCATGTTGGTTTAGACATGGGCTTAGGTTGAGCTAGCCTTGGGTTAAATCCAAATTGAATGATACACATGATCAAGGAAGAAGTTGTGAAGATTTTTCATGGTGACATAGACTGGAAATTTTGGGGTTAAGGCTCTCAATTTGGTGAAGTTTGGGGACATGGCTAATTTGAGATGAAATTGGGGATTTTTGGACTTAAGTTGAAATCAAATGAAATTGGGGCTTCACCAAGGCTAATTGAAGGTCAAATTTGATGTGTAGGAATGTTATGAAGATTTTTTAACTCAAATTGTGGCAAATGGAGTATGTCATTGGTTCAATTTGGTGGAACAAAGTCATAGGGCCAAAATTAGGATTTTGGTTTAGCTCAAACTTGGCTTCAAATCATGGACCACATTGGTTGGGATTTGGTCTAGATTGGTCACATCAAGAGTTGATTTGGGTTTAGAATTGAAATTGGGGAAAATTGAGACCAATTGGATAGACATTTGAGGTAGGATTGGAAAAAATGGGCCTTTAAATAACAATTTGGGGGTTTTGATCAAAGATGGTCAAAATGGCCAAGTTAGGTCATGTGATAGTTGCGAAAAATGAAATTGGGAATATTTGAGAGGTTTGGTAATTTTTTTGATTTTTTTAAATTTTTCAAAACTTGGGCTAAGGAGGGGACATTTTGGTAATTTGGCCAATTTTGGTGATTTTGGGTAGTTTGGGTGTTTTCAAGGAGTTGAAATGATTTTTGAACCAATTTGGGTATTTTGAGTAGATGTGAAAATTTTGGCCAAATTTGGGTTCCCAAAGGTATCTAGGTAATTTGGGAGAGTTTAGGGGCAAAAGGCTAGGTTGAGTATCTCGGTAGAGTTGGAGTGCTAACCACCATCAATAAGCTATGGACCAATGGAAACCCCATTTTGTGTCCTCTAGCTAGTGATCTTAGCCAAACTCTAGCCTAGGGCTAATGGGTTTAGGGACCACCTACAAGAGTCTCCTAAAAGTATCATGGGACCAAAGTTACAAAATTCTGTGTTTAGGATAGTGAGTGATTGTGAGTGAAGTGATTACCTTAAGCCCTAGAACAATACCTAGGGTCAACCCTAAGGTCCAACAGTCCCAAGGTTGACTCTTCTTAAGTTCCCCCATAATGACCCCACCTACCAGGTGAATGACCCCACCTACCAGAATGACCCCACCTACCAGGTGATGGAGGTTAGGACCAATATGTGGAATTTCAAGTTGAGTAGATAAGAGTTTGGAATTTCTAATGGTGAGGGTTACTTTTCTAGCTTTCTAAGAATAGTCAATAGGAATGTCCTAAGGCTAGTCGTTAAGCTACTAAAGAGAAAAAAACTAAACCTCAACCAAAAGTGAGGTCAACAAATTGACTCAACAAATTACCAAAAGTGAGGTCAACAAATTGACCCCCAATAGGTGGGGTGTGCTGGGCAAGCACACCGCATGTATTATCGTTGACCGACAAGATCAGCAAAACCAATATAAATTCCTAAGTCAAAAGATCTAGAAGTATGCGTAAGTCTGTTTGTGTGATTTGTTCTGCTGGGGAATTAGTAGGTGATCATCTGATTGAAATCAAGGAGTAGGAAGGAGTAGGGACTCTCAGTGTGACTCTCAGTGTGGATTGGAGAGTGAATTTTGAGTTATGAAATTTCAGGTATTTATAAGGGATGGGAATCAGTATGTAAGTGCTGACCCTGAGGTAGGAATTGAAGTTTGGGTATCAATCCTGAAAAAATAATCAAATGCTATAATCCATTTATGGTGGTCTTGAAACTGATTTCAAAAGATGAGAATACAATTGTGTGGGAGGACCAAATCAAGATGGAAAGCACAGAGGCTCACATCCGACTCAAAAGGGTAACAACAGTGTAGAAGATGACAACCATTAAAAAAGAATCAGATGCTATAATAAATTTAAGGTGATCTTGAAACTAATTTAAAAAGATGAGAATAGGTTTGTTTGGGAGGACCGAATCAAGATGGAAAGTACAGAGGCTCACATCCGACTCAAAAGGGTAAGATTAGTGTAGAAGAAGGCAACCGTTAAGGATGTATCACCAGAAAGAAAGGTCTATACTAGTTTTGAGTTACCACTGGGGAGTTATATTCGAACTGACATATGATAGGGAGAATATATATGTCTAGTTAGGAAGGAAAGCACCTGGACTCACATCCCACCCAAGTGATGATAAGGAAATTATCTGCTACATTGAGGAGGAAAGCACTGGAACTCGCATCCAACTAAAGTGGTAGAGGAAAATATATGCTATATTGAGGAGGAAAGCTCTGAGACTCACATCCAACTCAAGTGGTAAACTCAAGTGGTAGCGTCCAACTCAAGTGGTAGCGAAGAAAATATATCGATCACGTTAGGAAGGAAAGCACTAGGATTCACATCCTACCTAAGAGGTGGCAGTAAAAATATATGCTACATTGAGGAGGAAAGCTCTGGGACTCATATCCAGCTCAAGAGGTAACAAGAAAATACATGTGTTACATTGAGGAGGAAAGCGTCGGGGCTCACATCCGCCTCAAATGGTAACAAGAAAATATATGTGCTACATTGAGTAGGAAAGCTCTGGGACTCACATCCTCTGGGACTCACATCCAATCTCTAAGTGGTAGCGAAGAAAATATCTGCTACATTGAGGAGGAAAGCTCTGGGACTCACATCCAACTCAAGTGGTAGTGAGGAAAATATCTGCTACATTGGGGAGGAAAGCTCCGGGATTCACATCCAACTCAAGAGGTAACAAGAAAATATATGCATCATGTTAGGAGGGAAAACTCTAGGACTCACATCCAACCTAAGAGGTGACAAGAGAATATATGTGCTACATTAAAAAGGAATGCGCTGGGACTCACATCCAACTCAAGAGGTAACAATAAAATATATGCATCTCATTAGGAAAGAAAGAACTAGGACTCACATCCAACCCAAGAGGTGACAAGAGAGTATATGTGCTACATTGAGTCAGAAAGCATTGGGACTCACATCCAACTCAAGAGGTAACAAGGAAATATGTATGTCACGTAAGGAGGGAAAGCACTAGGACTCCCATCCAACCCAAGAGATGACAAAGAAAATATATGTGCTACATTGAGATGGAAAGCGTTGGGACTCACATCCAACTCAAGAGGTAACAAAAAAATATATACATAACATTGAGGAGGAAAGCGCTGGGGCTCACATCCAACTTAAGTGGTAACAAGAAAATCTATATGTTACATTGAGAAGGAAAGCTCCGGGACTCACATCCAATCCAAGTGGCAGTGAAGAAAATAGCGGCTACATTGAGGAGGAAAGCTCTGGGGCTCAACTTCAACTCAAGTGGTAGCGGGAAAATATATGTGTGCTTATGAAGAAAAAATACAGATTCACACATTTGAATTCGTGGGGAATATGTGAATAGAATATGAAAATATGTGAAGAACTCAAACTTTAGGTACTGATTCGGAAATAAGAATAGAAATTTAGTTATCATTTTTGAAAAGAGAGTTGGAAGTCAGGGACCAACCCTGAGGATTAAGAATGGGATGCCATGTTCCATTAAAGGGGGTCTTATACCAATCTCGAAAATGGGGAGTCAAAATTTTGGTACTGACTCAGAGAATCATATGAAAACTGTGTAGAGAGTTTGTGATGTTGAATTTACAGAAATGTATCATGTGAAAATGTTGATTTTGTTGAAGAAGATTTGTAAATTTTTGTGGGGTTTTGTGCAGAATTCAAAATTCCATGGGGATGTGAAGAGACTTAATGCAGATAAAGATGGTTGTGTTGCGTGCACAAAGAGTAAGAAACTCCGAAACCAAAAGAATCCTCTCAACATTCATCTTTTTATTTTTATCACTTTTAATTTTTCAAAATAAGTCTTTAAAATTTTAATTTTAGTTGGTTGATTTTGGTTGATTTTCAAAAGAATTTTTTTTTTTGTTGTTTATTCATTTGTGATTATTTTTGTTTGAATTTTATTTTAGTTAAATATTTATTGTTTCGTTCTTTGTTCATTGAAAATTTGAACCAACGCGTGGTTCGTGGCTTCCATCCATCGCACAAAAAGGCAACTGACAAAATGTCACATTTCTGAAAGAAATTTCTATTAATCTGCTCCAATCAAAATATCACAGATCAAACATAGGCTGATGCCTCAAAACGGTACAACATATAGTCCATATCAATGTACGTTCAAAACATCTCATGTCATATAAACATTGTAGGCTGAGATGTGTGGTACATATCATATTGTTGTAAAAAAAAGAACCCTCTGACCCTCTGTATCAGGTATGACAAGGTCTAGATCGAGTTGACCTTCTAATCTATGCACTTGTACAAGAGTTCCCTTTGCATGTACTTAGAGGCACAACCCTCTCATAGCTCCTACGACATTAGTTCTTCTAGCTCCGGATCTGGCTGAAATCCGTATGGTGCTTTCCTGTCATCCATTCTATAACAGGTTAAGGACACCCTACGACGTCGCACCCCTGGAATGCAGTGCTTGGTGACATCTGCCCCATTTCCTTTCAGAACTAAAACTGAACCAACTGGCAATGGAATCTCTACAACTCCTCTGAACTCACCAGGTCCGACAATATCTATCTCTTTCCCAAACAGTATATTTCTTTTACTTATGAATGAGACCGTGCAGAAGGGCCTCACAAAATGGTGGTGGTCTATATGAGGAGGGATGCAATCACCCTCGACATAGATATTGATGAAGCAACTATTCGGGATGTAGGAAGCTGGCAGTATGTTCCATCTTACCATCCTCTTGATCATCCCCTTTATTATAGGAGGTAGTGGATCTACCTGGTCATGTTTGCGTATCCCCAACAGATTTCCTTGTCTGTCATTTGTAAAATTTTAACAGCAGCCGCACTAAATGGTGATTCTTCCTTTTCCTCTTATTCATTTCTTCGGCTCAGAGTATGTTCTTTCCATGAGAAGGCCTGCTCGGCCTCTATCTCTCAAATTAAAGATGCAGTCAAGAATGCTTCTTTTATCACTCTCAGAGAAGACCCTGGTATACAGCTCCAGACCTTCCAATATGTTGACAAATCTTCCTTGGACTTCCTCATAGAATTCAAATTCTCTTTTATTCATCTTGCTTATTTTAAAGTACTCCATCGTACATGGAGTTGATAGCTGTCACGGATGCTCCTCCATCTGAATATTGTCAGGAACCCAAATGGGCGCTGACTGATCTGGAACACAAGATTCGACATCTAGAGGGATGTATGACCCTGGGCCCCATGGTATACACTGATTTGTCCCCAATGGGACGTATGGCTCATCCATCAGAAAATCTGGAGTTTGAGATCCATCAGTGGTGGAGGTATACTCTTCCAATGTACCAAAGTGTCATAAATGTAGAACAATGCAATCTGGGGCACTCTAGGAATGCCCCTGTGGCTGATGTCCTTGCAGGTATCTCGGCGTTGCACGTCGGGCAACCCGTGCATAAGGCATCTGAAGCTGAAGGTGTCTCTGGTTCTGTGACAAACCCTGGTCCTTCATCTATGGCGGGTATGCTGTAAGAAGTCTCTTTCATGTCTGGATCATAAATATGTCTCTCAAGAAAAGGGGTGAGTAAGTTGTTTGTTTAACTCTCATGTATGCATTCTTCTCTTAGAAAAGCCCTCTATTTTCTGCGCTGGCATTTCTGCGTTGCGTCCTGCAAAGTGAAGCATTTGGCAATAGTTTGTTATTGGTGGCTACTAGGCCTCCAGCTGATGTAGCTATCATGGATGGCAAGCAGCTGGGCCCGTCCATCGGATCCTGATCTATTATCACGTTCTTGCTTTTATGTGATGCATTATCTTTGGCGGTCACCCTCAGTAGTGAAGGCAATCCATCCTTTTCTCTGCAGCTGACTACATTAATCAGAGGACCTTTGTAGTCCATGTCAACTTGGTTAAAGTTCATGTTGAAGTCTATGGTACCGCCCTGTGGCGCCATTTCCTCATTCAGTGTGAGGCTCCATCCATCCTTGAAAGCAAAGATCAGCCTCTGTCCCCACATTCTTCTGTAAACGACTGAAAAAATGTCAATGGGCCAAAAGTTGGCATGAACAAGAACAAAAAAAAGTATTTATTGAAGTAAATTTTTGCTTATTTTAGTGAAATGATTTGTTTATTTATGTATGAATTTTGTTTAATTTTTGTGGAACATTATACTTAAAACTGGAAAGGAGAAAAATTGAGGTTTAAATTTTTTCTCAAAATTTTTATTATATTGGGGTTAATTACAAAATTTGTACCCGGTCATAGACATTTGGGCACATAGATAACCCCAAAACAATCAAAGTTTCAAAGTTTCAAAGCAAGCAGAGGCAAGCGACATCAGGTTGCGTAATTGGTTTTCAGATATCCTCCATTTATTGGTAACATGGGTCTTTTGTCCTGGAAGTCCACTAACTGGTAGGCTCCTCTTGTGTAGAACTTTTTAAAGATAAATGGTCCCTCCTAAGTTGGCTCAAATTTTCCACCTATTTTGCGGCATGCAAGAATAGGCCTTTTGATCACAACTACGAGGTCACAAACTTTGAATGTCCTTGAGCCGACCAAATTTTCATGGGCTTGTACCATCATGGACTGGTAAAGCTCTAAATGTTGTTGTGCTTCTAGTCATTTTCCCTCAAGACTTTCTTGTTCTTCAAGTCTGAGTTTTGCACTTTCTTCTATTGTTAGTTGGTTGGCAGCAACAACTTTAAGAGACTATGTCTGGACTTCTAGTGACAGCACAGCCTCAGACTCTGACAAGAGCATATAGGTTGTACACTGAGTGGGAGTCCTGAAAGTCATCCGGTAGGCCCACAAGGCTTCTAATAGTTTGTTGTGCCAATCCCTTTTGTTTTCATCTAGTATTTTCCTTAAAATCTGCACCAATATTTTGTTGAAGGCTTCAACCAGACCATTTACTCTGTGATAGTAAATCGTAGAGTATCTCCAATCTATCACATGTCTTTTGACAAAATTATTGATTTTTGTGCTTCTAAAAGCTGTCCCAATATCAAAAGTTATTCTTCACTGTGCTCCGAAATGGTATACAATTTGGCCTTTAAAAAGTTGAGGACATGTTGTGTCATAACCTCACGCAACGGTACTGCCTCTTTCCATTTGTAGAAGTAATATGTAGTGGCAAGTATAAACTTGTGTCCTTTGAAATGTGGAGGGTTTATCGGACCTATTATGTCCATGTCCCAACACCCGGACGACCAGAGACAACTGTTGGGTGTAGCACATTCAGAGGCTGGTGTAAGACCACGCCATGCACTTGGCATTGGTGATATTTTCTGGCTTTATCCATATAGTCAAACATCATTTCTGTCCAATAATATCTGAGTCTTTTGATCTTCATTTTCATTTTTGGCCCTAACTCGTGAGCGCCACATAATCCGGCATATACTTCTTTGACAATATTCCGTGCTTCGGCTCTGCTCAAACACTGTAGCCACATCAGGTCGACTAATCTTCTGTAGAGAACGTTTCCCACCAGGGCGTAAAATATAGCCCTTCTTGTGATTTGGTGTGCCTAAGACTTATCTTCTGATAGCTTTCCAATACACAAATATTCTATTAACGGCTTGCCCCAATCCTCATTGATGTTTGCAACTGTATTTGTTGTTTCTTCTTTTTCGATCTTTTGTAGAGTTTCAAGGTCGATCTGAGATAAGAATTGTCTTCCTTGCACTGTGATTTTATTGGAATCCTCCGGGGGACATGCCATTTCCTTAGCAAGTTTTGTTAGAGCCTCGGCATGGGCATTATCTCCCTTAGGACTCAGATAGTATGTCATATCGGGAGTCTATTCTAGGAGCTTCATCGTGTACTAATGGATTTCTCCTAACCTTGGTTTTAGAATTCTGTAATGTCCAGCAACTTGCTGGATGACGAGTTGGGAGTCGCCATAGATGGCAATGTTTGTTATATCCATTAAGATTGTCATTCCCAATCCGGTGATTAAAGCTTCATATTCTGCTTCATTGTTGGTGCACGGCTCTGTCAGGTGGTATGAGAACCTCAACATACCCTTATCTGGTGTGATAAAGATCAAATCGATTCCTGCTTTGCCTGGTATAACTATGCCTGATTCTTTATCTTCTCTGTTTGATAAAGCGCCATCGAAGTATATTTACCAGCGTTGCACATTGGAAAATTCCATGTGTAGTAGTATTGCTCATTTGGTAACTCATCATTGAGAGAGGAGTAGTATTGCTCATATGGTAACTCATCATTGAGAGAGGACCCAACTGGCAGTGGGTGTACAACAAGAAAGTCAGCTAGTATATATCGCTTGATAGCACAGAGGGGAACAAAAGTTATATCAAATTGCAATAAGATCATTGACCATCTTGCTAGACGTCTGGAAAGTGTTAGTCGGGTCATCAAATATTACAACCAATTAACTTTCAAGATTAGGGTAATCTTATGAGAAAGCATGTAATATCTATGTTTTTGAGCTGCAAAAATTAATGTCAGGCAATGTTTCTCAATTGGTGGATACCTTCTCTCCGTCAGTATCAGGCGACGACTCAAGTAGTAGAGAGCACGACTCAAGTAGTAGAGATCAAGTAGTAGAGAGCATTTTCTTTACCCTTATCATTGACTTGGGCTAAGAGGGCTCCAAGAGAGTCGTCTAAGACCGTGATATAAAGTATCAACGGTTTCTTTGGAATAGGGGCTGCCAAAATAAGATTTGTAATTAGATATTGTTTAACATCCTCTTAACGTCCTCAAAGACCAGCTGGCATTTCTCTGCCCAAATGAATTTGGCGTACTTTTTAATTAATGCCGAGAAAGGCTGACATCTATCTGATAGATTAGAAACAAAGCATCTCAGATATGCCAACTTCCCCAGGAAGGAATGTAGTTATTTCAAAGTTTTAGGAGGAGGCATTTCTAAGATAGATTTAATTTTATCCGGTTCGATCTTGATTCCCAGATGAAGGACAACGAATCCCAAAAATTTCCTGGAGGTAACTCCAAAGGCGCACTTTAATGGATTCATTTTAAGGTTATATCATCGTAACAATTCAAACACGATCTTAAAATCATACAAATGGTCTATTTTTTGTTTACTTTTGATGACCGAATCATTCACATAACATTCTACTTGGTTATGGATGAGGTCGTAAAAAATCTTCATCATTGCTCGTTGATATGTAGCTCCGATGTTCTTTGCTCCGATGTTCTTTAGGCAGAACGACATCACTGTGTAGCAGAAAATTCCAATCGATATTTTGAAGACTGTAAATGCTTCATCCTCGGGAGCCATCTTGATTTTGTTGTATCTCGACGATCCGTCCATGAAGGAGAAAATTTCATGTGTTGAAGCGATATCCACCATCATCTCTGGTATGGGTAGTGGAAACTCGTCTTTTGAAAATGCCTTGATCAAATCTCTAAAGTCGACACAAACACAGATCTTTATGTTTTTCTTCTTAACAGGTACAATGTTAGCCAACCATGTGGGGTACTGTTCTTCTTTTACAAAATTGGCATCTATTAGTTTCTTAACCTCGGAGATGACTTGTTGTTCTATTTCGAGGCGCATTCGCCTGGGAACTTATTTTACTGGGGTTATATTCTTGTCCACCCCGAGTTTATGGACTGCAACTTCTATTGACAGTCCTATCATTTTATCGTAGCTCCATGCAAAACAATCTTTGAATTCTGTTAATAGCTTGATCAATTCTAAAGATTCTTCTTCATTGAGTAGAGCACTTATAAATGTAGGTCGGGGTTGTTCTTCAGTCTCGAGGTTAA